GAATGCTAAAAGGATGAAATTAGTTCGATCACAGGAATCTGAAGCAGGTCATGAGGCAATACTCACTACATCTCAGGAACGTCAGGCGAGGTTTCGTGTTAGAGAAACTTCGGCTCAGCAAGAATCTCGATTGAGTCCACATTGTTCTCAAAAAAATACCACTCGAATTAAGGGTGAACAGGGAACAGCGTGACGCAAGTTTGTCCATCGATCGTAAATCTAATACACTATCGCGTGAGTCTGAGACTTTCACTGATAGGGAATCCCGCCTAAGCTCCTCAGAGGGTTTGGACAGCAAATGCCTGGTTTTACGAGACACTTGGAGAACGAAAAACACGTCTTACTGCCGATCGCGAGGCACATGCACTATCGCTTGAGTCTGAGACCTTTACTGATAGGGATATCCGTCTGAGCTCTCAGAGGGTTCGGACAGTAAATGCCCGGTCTCAGGAGAGACTTGCAGAATGAGAAGCACGTCTCACTGCCGATCGCGAGGCGCATGCACTATCGCTTGAGTCTGAGACCTTTACTGATAGGGAAATCCGTCTGAGATCTCAGAGTTCGGACAGCAAAAGCTTGCCCGGTCTCGGGTTTCTTAATTATGTTAAGCATAATGCAGAGAATGTATGTATTACAGTCGACTGTTGATCCTCAAGAACTTTGGATCAATATATGGGTGTCACAGCTCATTTTTTTTCTTACAATTGACATCCATTTTACTACAATGTGATCAACTCGATGGCAGTCATACAGCTATTAAAATTGCGCAGGAACTCCAGACGATAGCAGATGTATGGGGTATAACTCAAAAGATTATATTTTTTGTGTCAGACAATGCAACAAACATGTTAGGAGCTAGCTCTATTTTAAACTGGAATCACTTTGGCTGTTTAGAGCATAAATTACACTTAATAGTCCAGGACGCTTTAAAAACAAATAAAGATACTATAGACAAGGTTACCAGAACGGTATCATTTTTCAAAAAGAGCTGTATTGGCAAAGAAAAACTGATGAAATATCAGATTAACAATTTGAATGTCCAACAGCCCAGGAGCCTTGTAAAAGCCATTTCCACCAGGTGGAATTCCACTTATTTAATGCTGGAGAGGTTTTATACCTTAAAGGAAGCAATTCAAGCAACAGTTGTTACTATGAATATCTCTATGCCTATAATACCTAACGAAGAGTGGGAGTGCATCGAGCAAATGTGCGTTGTTTTAAAACCATTTTATGAGGTCAGTAAGATAATGAGTGGAGAAAATTATCTTACCGCGAGTACCGCTATGGTCCTGGTCTCGAGTCTCATGTATGTTTGTGACAGCTGGCATCCAGAACTTTTTATGCGCCTGTGGTTGATATGGTAGGAAAACTAAAACAAAGTCTGACAGAAAAGCTAGGAGATATAATAAACAATGTACACATGTGCACACTATTGGATTCACATTACAAAGACGTGGCATTCTCTGAGTCTCAATCATTAGAGGAAACAAAAGCATTCGTTGTAGCATTGATGGTAAAATTAATTCAAACTAGTGGAGAAGTGGCGGCAGATATTCAAGACCAGCAAAATATTGATGACGAAGATTTATCTATATGAGGGGAATTTGATTTAAAGATAAGAACTTCGCATGCTCCCAAGACAGCGCAGACAAAAGCTGAAGAAGAACTGGAGATGTATATTAAGGAGAAAGTAATTTCTAGAAAAGCCTGTCCATTAGATTGGTGGCGAATACACAAATGTATATATCTAATTTTATATAAAAAAATTAAAACCAAATGCAACATTATGGTGACATCAGTTTCTTGTGAACGGGCCTTTTCTAAGGCAGGATATATTATAAACGATCGGAGAACTCGTCTCACAACATCAAAAGTGGCGCAATTATGTTCCTAAGCTGTAATAAAATTTAATTTACTGTGAAATATTTAAATAAGTTAATAAAAAAACAACTACGTTGATATAAATAAAAATGTAAATAAGTAATTACGTTCTAAATAACAATAACAGAAAAATAGGAAAAAAACTGTAGCGTATAAATAAATATTATTATAAGATATTATCATTTCGTACTAATTAGTTAAGCTAGTCAGCCCTAAGCCTGTAGCTTCTACTTCTTACTTCTACAGTGTAGAAGTATGAAGGAAAGTTCACTGAATCGAAAATAAATGTAAGAAACTCTACCATTCAAGTTTAACATTAGCAAAATTAATTTTTCAACGAAAAGATTTATCGGTATTTTCAACCAATAAAAATATCGGTAAGAAAATTTACCAATTACCAGTTAACAGATAAATAAATTCAACCGTTAACGCCATCTTTAATTGCAATGCTTATGTACAGGAATACACCAAAACAAAGTGGTTATTCTCCAGCACATCTAAAATACCAGTCACACACTCAATTACCACCTAAAACATTATCTAAAAACATTGAAAAGCAGAAAGAATATTCAACATTTTATTATAATAAACACACAATACAGTTGTCAGATTTACAAGTTGGTGATAAAATATATTTCAAACACAAGCCCAATAGTTCATGGGTTCCAGGTCGTATAAAACAAGCAGAAAACGAACGTCGTAGTTATATATACTATTCAGTCCCCAGAAGGAACATTCAGGAGAAATCGGGAGCACATACTAAAACCTGTCTCCAAAGACACCGTGATACCTTAAAAAGGAAAGTGTAGTCTTTAACTTAAAAGGGGAGATGTTAGGTAAATAATGTAATCTATGGCAATACTGCCAGACTACTTCCGCCATTAAAATAAAATATCACTAAAGCGTCTTGCCCAATGTGATGTAATAAGATGGCGACTTTGCGTTGATCACATTCATCTTCCAGATTATTAGCTCGCATGTATATTTTAAATTGAGTATACCGGTTTTTCCAAGTTAAAGGCATGTTCGAGCTTCTCATGTCTAAGGATTTGAGCCCATATGTGACTGATGTAGCATTAAGTGACTTACTTGCGCGTCCCTGTCCGCCATGTTGTGTGTTTTCGACTTTATCCATTTTGAACATAATTTCACGGATATTTTTGTATTTTTATTTAATATTTTCCTTAATTTCCTTAAATTCCTTACTTCTGACACCATGTGAAGTCATAGGATGGCCGGGTTGTGGCATAACTATATTTTATTATAAAACGACAAGAGCTCTACGTGTGATTTGTTTTAATGGCGGAAGTAGTTTTGCCATATTGCCATAGATTACATTATTTACCTAACAAATATAGCATGATTGTCCTGTATACTTCTGCCTTTTCTGAAACCGTATTGAGAGTTGGCTAAAAGACCATTATGTTCCAAAAACCATTCTAACCTGTTTTTAATCAAATGTTCCAAGATTTTAGGAATGGTAGAATGGCTATGGGTCGATATGATGTTGGATCTGATGGATCCTTACCTGGTTTAGAGATAGCAATGATTATTTGATGTTTCCATTTTGGTGGAACAGTACCAATTCTATATATTAAGTTTAACAAATTAAGAAGATAGAGGTGTGTTGACTTTTTCGCCTTACAAATAAAAGAATAGGGAATTCCATCCATAAATAAAAATCTAACGGTATTAAATCAGAGGATGGAACAGTTGCGGCGCCTAGATTGTTTAAAAATTGATCCACCCAAGCAGTTGAAATATTGCTTAGGTTGTCTGGTGAACGTGAACATCTAAATTTTTTCATATTCTTCCAAATAACCGATGATGGAGTTTCTGGGGAAAGAGAGGAACAGAAATTTCGCCATGCCTTACGCTTTTTATCTTTAAGTAACCGCTTTGTACCAGCTTCTAAATTACGTACTTGGAGAAAGTTAGTCAAATTGATGTTGCGAAAAAAGTTTTTTTCTGTATTTTTTTATTTTTAATAGCTTCCGTGCACTCTGTATCCCACCATGGAGGAGAAGGGATTTTCTTGACAGCAGAGTTCTTCTTTTTTAGGGATTCATCCGCCGCAGAACTCCTCCTCCTCGCGTCGTTTCCTCACTGCTGAGAGTCGTGACCATCATGTCGACAGGATTTTGCTCTTTGTAATGTCCCGCCAGCGCCTCCGATCATTGGCCGCATGAAGGGCGTCGTGGAATAGGATCTCCAGTGTGGTGCGGATTTGGTCGAACCACCTTGTCGGACTGCGCCCGCGCGGTCTCTTTCCCTCGATCTTCCCTGTCACGAATAGTCTCTCTAAGCTATACAGTGCGTTGCTTGCGACTTTCCCAAGTAACAACAGATCTACCAATAAGAAATACAAAGCCTGTGAATAACTTACGATCCATGCTGTCAGATGCCCAGTCAGCGTCAGCATATGCAGAAATATCCATTCCACTTTTAGAAAAATAAGGTTTAAATCAATTGTAACTTTTAAATATCGTAACACTCGTTTAGCGGCTTTCCAATGGGTTTCACCATAACAATTATTAAATTGACTGAGATAGCTTACTGCGTGACTGATGTCCGGTCTAGTACAAACAGCAACATACATCAGAGAGCCAATCAAGCCCCTGTAGTCATAGATCTGATCCGTCTGTTTTTCCTTGGCTAGCTTTAGACCAGTCTCCATAGGTGTGCGTTCAGGCTTACACTCGTCTATTCGAAACTTCTGTAACAACTTATTTATATAATTAGTTTGATTAAGACAAATTTTATCACCTATTTCTTTCAGCTGCATGCGCAATATACACGCATGTTGTGCTGGCCCTAAATCAGTGATATCAAATTCTTCCTCCAGTGCTTTCTTTATTTTCTGTTTTCCTTGAAAGTTGGGGGATGTGAAAACAATGGGTCATCGACATAGAGAACTATTATCATCATAGACTTATTTTCACTTTTAAAGTAGACACATGGCTCAGTGCTTAATTGCTTGAATAGTAGTTTGTGACACAAAATCTTTGTAATTTTGTCATACCATGTCTTGGATGCCTGTTTTAAGCCGTACACAGCTTTATTTAGCCTGTACACCATGTTCTCTTTTCCTTTTTCTTGAAAGATCTCTGGCTGCTCCATGTATACAGTTTCCTCGAGGTCACCATTAAGGAACACCGTTTTGACATCCAGGTGCTCAATGGACAGGACATGTTCAGCTGCTAAAGCAAGTAAAATCCTAATTGTGGAGTACCTTACCACTGGTGAAAAAGTCTCTTGGTAATCAATACCGTACTTCTGTGTGTAACCCTTGACAACTAAACGAGCTTTATACTTTAGTAACTCCAGGTGCTCAATGGACAGGACATGTTCAGCTGCTAAAGCAAGTAAAATCCTAATTGTGGAGTACCTTACCACTGGTGAAAAAGTCTCTTGGTAATCAATACCGTACTTCTGTGTGTAACCCTTGGCAACTAAACGAGCTTTATATTTTAGTAACTCTCCATCTGCTCCATATTTTCTTTTGAAAATCCATTTACATTTGACTGGTTTGTGGCTGGGTTCAAGCTCAGTCAGGGTCCAACACTTGTTCTTAACAAAGGAATTATACTCATCTACCATTGCCTTTCTCCAACTGTTCGATTCAGGCCCGTTTAAGGCCTCGGCTGCAGTCTGGGGATCATCAGGGTTGTCGACTAATCTCACGAAGCTTTCCCTCAGCGGAGAGTCTTGCAAATCTTCATATGAATAATCTGTCTCCTCTGCTTCAACTAGTGAATCGTCCCCTGGAACATAAGTTTCATCCAAGCAGTCATTTGCATCATAATCCGTTTCTCCGCTATCAGAACCGTCCAATGTGGTTGCGCTATGCCTCTGTTTTCTGTGTCCGCTCTGTGATAATATTGTGTCATCAGAAACATCAGAACTCACAGTGGGTAGCTCCAACTCATGAGAACCATCTGTATTTAAACTCATGTCAACAAACATGTGTTGGTCTGAATTTTCATCATGTGACACACTTTTTTGTTCATAGAATTTTGTTTCAACAAAAACTATGTTACGGGCAAAAACACAACGTGGGATCATGTGGGTCTATGAGTCTATAGCCTTTTGACTCCTAACTGTTGCCCACAAATATGTATGGTTTACTTTTTGATTCTAATTTCTTCCTATTCTTTATCATTGCATAGCCATTGCATCCAAAGATTCATAAATGGTGCAGATTTACCTTTGTTGGACCATTTTTCCTCCGGAGTAGCTCCTATCACAGCTTTGGTTGGACTTCGGTTCTTAAGGTATACGGCAGTGTTCACAGCCTCAGCCCAAAATTTCATTCCCAGCCTAGGATCCCACAGCATACTCCATGCCTTCTCTATGACGGACCTATTGGCCCGTTCAGCAACACCATTCTGTTGCGGACTATCCGCAATAGTTTTCTGGTGTTGGATGCCATTCTTCTTGAGAAATTCCTGAAACTCACCCATATACTCACCGCCCCTAGCAGTCCTAAGTATTTTTAATTCCTTTCCCGTTTCTTTCTCAACAAGAGCTTTGAGTTGTTGGAAATACCCAAAAGTTTCATTCTTGTATTTCAAAAAATAAACATATTGCTTCCTGGAGAAGTCATCAATGAAACTTAGAAAATACCTAGCACCACTGAATGAAGGGACCTGAAGGGGATCACAAAGGTCACTCACTATGTACAAGACCTAATTTTTCCTTAGCTCTAGTGTGTGACTTTTTGGGAAAAGGGAGTTTACTTTGTTTACTTTCTATACAAGGAATACACTGTTTAAAATCAGACAAACTATATGAAATGCCACTAGACATACCTTTTTGTAGCAATTGCATACTCCTCGAGTTTAGGTGCCCGAGTCTTCTGGGTCATACCTCCTGAGATAACATCGTTGCCGCATTAGCAGTGTGAGTCTTTGCCGAAGCCATCACAGCCGAAGCGACGACACAGCCGTTGTCTGACACAGTATCCAGCTGATAGACACCACTTGTCTGTGTACCTGTTACTAGACATTCATGTTTGTCATAGACCCTACATAATTTATTATTAAATTCAACAGTATACCCTTTCTTTGTTATGGCACTTACTGACAATAAGTTCGTACTAAGATTAGAAACATAATACACATCACTTATTACAGTCTTTCAAACAGGTGGCATTGGACATGTAAAAGTTCAAATACTTTTACATGTCCAATGCCACCTGTTCGTAGCTTTTCACCATTCACGATGCTCACATCCACACTATTAGGTCGGAAGTCCATCATGTACTTTTTATCATTGCACATATGATTAGTAAAACCGGAGTCAATGTACCACACATCACTACTTATTTTTACAGACAGAGCTGCAAAGAGCGCTTTGTCCTTTGGGATATTCTGCTTCGGATTGTTCCTAGTCTGATATCTGGATTTATTTTGGCCTTTGTTGCCTCCTACGTCCGCTGACTCCTTGAAGCTTCCTTTGTTGGAACAATTCTTAGAAATGTGACCCACATTTTTGCACTTGAAGCATCTCGGTGGCTTCTTGGTTACCAACGCAGTGACTTCTTGTTTCTCCTCACGCCTCTGGTTTTCTGCCAACAGTTTTCCTGAGACAAGTTCCGTGGTGAGTTTTACATTTGAGTTTCAATTGCCATGATGAGGGGGTCAAAATCTTCTGTGAGCCCACTTAGCATTATAACGGCAATAAACTCATCATCCAATGCGGATTCCATTTCACTCAGTTGACACGCCAACTCTTTAATTTTATTGATGTAGGCTTCCATGGAACTGCTATCCGATAACTGAACTGCTATACGATAACTTGACACCGAAGAGACTTCTCAGTATGCCAAGCCTCCTATACAAGCCGCGCCCTCCGAACGCCTTACTTAGGTTATTACACGCCTCGTGTGCGCTGGTGGCGGTGCGGATGCATGGGATGACTGCTGGCTGCACCGACAACGCAATACGTGCCAATGCCTTTTCGCTCTTTTCTTCATGGCTTCCGTCAATTCCCATTTATCCGTGACGGAATCACATAACTCTTCATGGATTAATAACATCCGCATGGAGAACTTCCACGTGGAGTAGTTTTCTGCACCACGCAGTTTTTCAATGGTGGCATGTTGAATTGACGAACTTGTGCCAAACTTGTGTACAATGGCAATAAAAAAAAAATGTAGAATTTTAAAAAATTGTAGTACTACTGCTGCCCTAAGCACCTATGTCAACGCTGATGAAATAATAATTTGCATCAGCAACCGCTATTAAAATCAAGGAGTGATATCGTTTATAATTATAAAGCTCGGAACCCGCGCAATCCGGCTTTTCGCACCTTATATGCTTTCCATGCACCGTTCCTAAGCAGTGTCGAAAATGGGTTATTTTATGGATAATTTCAGCAGTAATGGGACCAGTTTCATCTGGTTCTGTCATGTATGTATGAAGGTTGTAGACATGACCATAGTTTTTCACATGTGTCTTCTATAATTTCGCCAATAGTAGAGATACCAATAAGATATTCGTAATACAGCGAAAAGTAGCTATTTCCTGAAGCCAAATACCTGCAATAATCATTAAAAAGTATGTAATACCAATAATATAAATTACAAACAGACAAGTCAGCACCTACATAAGTTTACATAACAATTAAATTACTTTTTTAAAAGATACAACAAACAATATCAGAGATACAGAAAACACCAACAGCAATGCCGAAGCCCTTCCTAATCAAACCGACGACGAAGGTACTGACTCAGAAGCTATACGAAATAGAAAACTTAAAACGAGCATGCATAAAAAGGGTAGAGTTCAAAATAATTGCGATGATGAAATATTGAAATTATTGAAGGACAAAAAATATGATGAGGATGTTTCATTTTGTGAAATGATCATACCAATGCTCAGAAAATTTTCAACGGAGCAAAAACATTACGCTAAAATTGAAATTCTGAATGCACTTAACAGAGCAAATAAATATTCACCAGAAAATTTCATGTCACCTAGAGCCAGTTCCACTTTGTCGCAGTATCGACCATCATCTTCATCGTATTCATCTTACAACCCAAATACGCCGTCACCCTGTCCAAATACTATCCGTCAAACTCCTTCTCCCCAAATTCTATCTCGTAATACTACTGTCATTTCTCAATCTCAGCCCTGATCCATCTCAAACCCAGCATTCGCTCTTTCACAATTCAAATTTTCCAAATACTTCATTTAGCCAATCTTCATATCTAGTAGAGGGGAGTGCTATTGATATGAAAGATTATGTTTTATTTAAATAAAGTCGCCGTGGATAAGACGTTCGGTGCATTCGTGTTGAGTAATGCACCGGTGTTCGAATCCCGCAGGCGGGTACCAATTTTTCTAATAAAATACGTATTCAACAATTGTTGACGGTTGACTTCCACGTTAAAGGAATATCATCGTGTAATAAAAATCAAACCCGCAAAATTATAATTTGCGTAATATCTGATGGTAGGACCTCTTGACCCTGCCTATTTCTGCTGTGAAGTAGTAATGCGTCTCGGTTTGAAGGGATCGGGTCAACCGTTTTAACTATACTTGAGACCTTAGAACTTATATCTCAAGGTGGGTGGCGCATTCACGTTGTAGATGTCTATGGGCTCCAGTAACCACTTAACACCAGATGGGCTGAGAGCTCGTTCACCCTATCTAAGCAATAAAAAAAAAAGTTAATTTCTGTTTAATAAATGATGATGTATGATCAATCCTTGTTTTTATTTACCTTTGTCCGTTATTAAATATTCACTGGAATGTTGCCTAGAACATTTTGCTCCTGACTGTACTGTACTGTAAAGCTGCCCTCCCCCCCACAGAGGCGCGTTATTATCGGTCGATTTAATATATGGCAATAACGTATCTGATCTTATCGACCGATAATAACGCGCCTGTAGGTAGGCTTAAGTAGGTAGGTACGTAACTAAACCTTAGAGTTATCGAGTCTTTCTTTAGGTGAAATTGCTTTTCTCCAATTCGTATCTTGATAGGTAATCGCTGGACCAACTAGTTGTAGTAAATTATCGAATGATTTTTTTGTCATTCTGCAATAGCCAAAAAACTTTTTGCTGTATTTTCGCAACTCTTGATATTTTATGTAGAAAAATCCTTTCATGGGTCTTAATGCCGTAATTGGGTGAATCCAATACTCATGAAATCTTTTGATACGTCTGTTACGCCGCCTTAGCTTTAGATAAATTAAAATTTTTGTTCGGTTGTCCATTTTACACGTGCGTCTCAGCCGAGAACTGATTAAAACTGACGAAAATAGTACGAAATTTTATTCGCAGTGTGTACGAATAAAAACCGGTGAAATATCGCTGTGCGGACAGGCCCTAAGGGCCGTAATATCAATCGTAGTTTAAAGTAGAGAACACAGTTTAATCTGTCCTTTTCGTTTCTCTTGTAATATCAATGACCGATCATCGACCCAACACAGTTTAAACTACCAATAAGTTTAAACCTTCCTTCATGGATTAGATGTAAATATGTCATTGTCAATAA